AAAATTGATACCACACTCACTGTCAAAAGGGGAGCTGAAAATAGTTGAGCTGGTAGTTATAAGAAAAGCTAAGATACAAGCCAAAATGAAAGTAACAGTAAAGCTTTTAATTACTTACTAGTCACTTAGTAAAGAAAGCACCCAAAGAAAGCACTGGCTCTCCCACTGTTCTATTTTCCCCCATGGAACATTTGACCCTCTGTAGGGGTCAAATGGATTAGCACGGATGCAGGGAATCATTTCACTACCAATGGAGTACCAGACAAAAGGCTTCTGCCATTTCAGGGACCAGGACCAGAGAATTCAAAAGGAACCAAATCACAGTCTCCCATAGGCCAAAGATTAACAATCGGAGTATGAAAAAGAACAATAATTGCTATGGAGTGAAACATGTCAAATATAATTAAATCCACAAATTCATAATAATAATTCTTTTACAGTTTATTTGTTTATTTTGAAAAAGAGAGAGAGAGAATACGAGTGGTGGGGAGCCGAGAGAGGGAAGGAGAGAGAATCCCAAGCAGGCTCTGCACTGTCAGCATGGAGCCTGATGCAGGGCTTGAACACAGGAATCATGATCATGATCTGAGCCAAAATGAACAGTCAAACGCTTAACTGACTGAGCCACCCAGGTGCCCCATATAATAATAATTTAAATGGAAAACATAGGATGAACTTTCAAAGATGTTGAAAAAATGAGAAATATCAAGCTTTTATCCTAATTTTTTTTACATAAGTTATACTTCAGAGTAACCAAGACACTGATGAGAGGATCCCTTTACAGAAGTATTTTAGCTAATAATTGCAGAAGAAAAAATAGAATTACAGTATCATTTTACAACTCTTGATAAAATAATAAATTCTAAGAAAAACCAATCAATGGCTACTAATATCACATAAAGGAAAACAACCAAATGTTATGCACCATGTCACAGACATATGCACCATTATGTATAAAGGATTAGTGCAAAGCAAACAAGCAAAACCACAAAAAAAACTTGATCATGCCTCTAGAATTAAATACTAGTTTAGAAGAAATACAGGAACATGTTGAATCACACAACACATAAGTAACCAACAAAATCCAGAATATGGGTAACTTTATAAGAAAACTCTGTTACTAGGACAAACTGCAAGAAAAGAGAAAGAAAGATTAAGAAACATATCACACTATTGCACTAAACAGACTAAACAGGCATTGTTTGGATCTTAATTCTAATACATATTTATGGACAATGGGAGAAATCTGAATACTGACTGGCTATTTCACAGCATTAAGAAAGTATCAAGGGGAGGCGCCTGGGTGGCTTAGTCAGTTAAGCGTCCGACTTTCGCTTAGGTCATGATCTCGTGGTTCGTGGGTTCGAGCCCCGCGTCAGGCCCTGTGCTGACTGCCAGCTCGGAGCCTGGAGCCTGTTTCAGTCTGTGACTCCCTCTCTCTCTGACCCTCCCCTGCTCACGCTGTCTCTCTCTCTCTCCTAGAAGTAAATAAAACATTAAAAAAATTTAAAAAAAAAAGAAAGTATCAAGGATTTTTTTTTTAACTAGTGATGATACTGTGGTTATATTCTTTAAATAAAAAGTTCTTATCTTTTAGAAACATATATTAAAATATTTGTGGATGAAACTGCATATCTGTAATTTACTTCAAAATAATTCCTTTTTGTGGCGCCTGGGTGGCTCAGTCGGTTAAGTGTCCAACTTTGGCTCAGGTCATGATCTCATGGTTCGTGGGTTTGAGCCCTGCATCAGGCTCTGTGCTGAGAGCCATCTCAGAGCCTGAAGCCTGTTTCAGATTCTGTATCTCCCTCTCTCTCTCTGACCCTCCCCTGCTCATGTTCTCTCTCTTTCTCTCTCTCTCTCTCTCAGAAATAAATAAAACATCAAAAAAATAATTCCTTTTTTTGTGGGGAGAGGGATCTAGAGATGAAGCATGATTAGCTATAAACTGATACTTGTTGAAGCTCAGTGGTGGGTAGAGTACATGGAGATGCATTACACCATACTTTTTACCTTCACACATGTTTGAAATTTTCTATAACAAGAAGTTAAAAAAAAACCTTGATGGATAGATTCCAAATATGAACCAAGATTCATTCTAAAGGAGGTTTTTGGAGTAACTTTTCTTTCTCATTTCTTTTTGTATTTTCTAAGTCAAACCAACAAACAGGTACTACCTTGATATCAGAAAACAAGGAAATAACATGATATAGTAAAAAAAAAAAAAAAAAAAAGGACATACAATAGTTAAAAAACATCTCAATAAATTCTGAGAAAAAAGTACAAAGATAAACTAAGATTTTTTTAACTGAGGTAATGAAGAAAAAGATGGGGAAGGGGAAAAATAAGGAAATGTTTCCATTTTATTATTACTCAAGAGGTAATTTCAGGTATAATCTATGTCAAAAACATCAAAATAAACTAAAAGTAGGCCACTTCTAGAAATTTGAAAGATAAACCTTTACAAATAGAAATCATATAATCTGTTATTGATTGCTATATTATATAATGGCAAAATATTGGGGCAAAAACCAAATGCCCACTCAGAAGACTGGGTGAATAGGGGCACCTGGTGGCTCACTTGGTTAAGTGTCCAACATCAGCTAAGGTCACAGTCTCACAGTTTGTGGGTTCAAGACCTGCATCGGGCTCTGTGTTGACAGCTCAGAGACTGGAGACTGCTATAGATTCTGTGTCTCCCTCTCTCTCTGCCCCTCCCCCAGTCGTGCCTTCTTTTTGTCTCTCAAAAATGAATAAATGTTTAAAAAATTTTTAATAAAAATTTAAAAAAAAGAACATTGGGTGAATAAACTATTATAGCCGCACAAAAGAATAGATAATTATAAAATAGAATAATAAAGATCTCTCTAGGCTGCTAAAAATGATCTCCAGAATACATTAAACATGTGAGAAAGAAAAAGGTGTAGTGTAGTATACATACAATACTCCTTTTAATTAAATACATATACATTCAAACACATACACATAAATATGTACCATTTAAAAGAAAAATAGAAGAATAAACCAGAGAGAAGTACAGGTAGTTATCTATAGAAGGAAACAGGAAACAGGGTGGAGGGGACAGGAATGGACACCAGACTTCTCTGAATTCACCTTGTTCTGTAGTTTTGATTTTGGAAATATGTAAATATCTTATATAATTTTAAAATAAAATTAAATCAAAGTGGGGGGGGATCACTAAAAGTATAAGGCAAGATGAAACAAATGAGCCTAATTGTAGGGTAGGTTATATCCTATTGAACTCCAAGAAGTCTTGATCGTTTTTCTGTATTCAGATGGTTAGTAAAAATATTGGCATTGTTAGTTTGAAACTCCCTCCCCCAATCCAAAAGAAGGCAGAAAAGGAAAAGAGAATAAGGAACAGATGGGACAAGATAATGGATCTGACCCAAACAACATCAATAACCACACTAAATATAAATGGTATAAGTACTTTAATTATAAGACAGAAATTGTCAAACTGGATAAAAACTGAATACAGCCAACAAGAAATGTCCTCTAATACCAGAACACAAACAGGTTAAAAAAATAAAAGGATAGGGGTGCCTGGGTGGCTCAGTCGGTTAAGCGTCCAACTTTGGCTCAGGTCATGATCTCACAGTTCATGGGTTTGAGCCTTGCATCAGGCTCTGTGCTGACAGCTCAGAGCCTGGAGCCTGTCTTCAGATTCTGTGTCACCCTCTCTCTCTGACCCTTCCCTGCTCTGTCTCTCAAAAATAAATAAAAAACATTCAAAAAAATTTTTTACATAAAAGGATAGAAATAGAAATAAATAAAAAGAAATAAAAAAATAAAAACACAAATAAAAAGAAAGCTGGAGTGGCAACATTAAATATCAGACAAAGTAGGGGCACCTGGGTGGTTCAGTCAGTTAAGCTTCCAACTTCAGCTCAGGTCATGAGCTCGCAGTCCATGGGTTCGAGGCCTGCATCGGGCTCTGTGCTGACAGCTCAGAGCCGGGAGTCTGTTTCAGATTCTGTGTCTGCCTCTCTCTCTCTGCCCCTCCCCAGCTCGTGCTCTGTCTCTCTCTGTCTCAAAAATAAATAAAACGGAAAAAAAAATTTTTTTTAACGTATCAGAAAAAGTAGACGCTCAGAGCAACAACACTACCAGGAATAAAGAAGACCATTTCATAAGGATAAAGGGATCCATTCATCATTAGGACATATTACCTAAAACTTCTATGTATCTAATAACAGAGTTTCAAAATACATGAAACACAAACTCATAGAAACTACAAGGAGAAAGAAATAAATCCAAGACAGAAAATCAGTAAAGTTACAGTGTATTTAAGCAATACTATCAACCTACCTTACCTAGCTGACATTTATGAAACACTCCACCCAACAACAGCAGAAGAGTCTTTCCAAGTGCACACCAAACATTTACTAAGACAGACAACACATTTTGGGTCACAAAACCAATCTTAATGAATTTTAAAGGATTCAAGTCATACACTGTATTTCTCTAATGGAATGAAATTAAAAATCAGTAACAAAAAGATTTCTGGAAGCCTCATAATACCCAAAAACTAACATATTTCTAAATAACCCATTAGTCACAGAAGAAATCAAAAGGCAAATTAGACAGGAGTTTGAACTGAAGGCAGATTAAATAAGATTGGCAAGTGGTAACTTTTGAGCTGGGCCTATAGATGGTTCATTATACATTTGTGTATGTTTGAAAATTAACAAACAGAAAAAGTTTAAAAAAAACCAGAATGCTGTGTCAGAAATAACACAATATTATCTCTTTTCAAAATATATGAATATCAAATCTATACTTCCTCAATTTAACCACCATTGGGAAGTATCTATCACAATTAACTGCACATATTCCCTGCTCCCAATCTACAGAAAATTGCCTTGCCACCTCCATCATTTGAGAAAGCTTAACTAGGAAATTTTAAAAGGAAAAACACTTCTACATCTTGAAAAAATAAAAGCATTTCGGGAAACTAAGAGGAAACATCTACTCACCTTGGACTTTGCTTCTGAATGTATAACAGCCATCTTTTCCTCTTCTGGACTCTACTCTCAGGAAAAGAAAAAGGAATCATGAGATACTTAGCCTTTCTTAGGATATACTCTAAATCAAACTACACTCTCTTATCCACCCACCCGCAATTTACCCCTCATTTAACGTGGAGGAAAATCAGAAGAAGACTAGAACTTTCTGTATCAGAAAGAAGGTCCAAGATCACAGCGGTCTTGGGCTAAAATTTATTTCTGGATTCAAAACTGTCCACTGGAGATAGAGTGAAGTGTTACAGGCTCTAACGTGTATGACTGGCTCCTTTAGTACATTCTCTAGAAGTACTCCCATTTCTGGAACTCCATTGCATTTCCAAATGGCCTGTTTTGAAGGTGCTATCTGCTGTGGCTTAGAAATAACTCACAGTCTTCATTCAAAGGCTCAAACTTCTGACTTCCTTACTTCCTGTCATTCTTCTACATTCAATATCCTCAAAGTTATAAGGTGAGAGGACACCTGGAAGCCACAGGGAACCTACATCTACAATCCCACTGTGAACTAAGGATGAATACAGAAATGAAGCAATATAGGCCATGTGTGAATGGGAGGTGGCGGGGTGGGGGCAGGGGATCACTGAGGTCAGAAGAGAAAGAAGTCAAGTTCTTTAAGGAAAAGCCACAAGGGACTCATGATACAAAGGCAGACAGCCTCTGAATGAACCCCAAAAATGCAAAAACCCAAATTTATCTCTGTACCTCACTAAACTCCCATAAGGTCATAGGCTATAAAATTTATAAACGACTAGACAAAGTCACACACGATCACGCGGCCAGAGTCACAATTGCCAAATTAATGTTATATCCTCAGACCACCTTTTGTCTTAAAATCTAATCATACAGAGCATACACACACTCAAGCACATCCAAGCACCCTACGAGGGATACCCATGGCCCCAAACACCCTTTCACAGCATCACTTTTACTCTCTTCACAGTCATGAAAAGCGGCACACTCGGTCACACACTCACACTTATGGCATACACTTCAGACAGAAAAACACAACCAAGCACCAGGTCAAGGAAAACAAGTGGTCACAAACACCGCTGTCACAGTAACACTCTCGTAAAACCTTAAAGCCACAAGCAAACCCCAGTAATACACAAAATACACATCGCATACATAACCTCAAAGTGACCCAAGTCCATCCAAACACCCTGTCACAATAGCCTTGTAGCACAGCTCAAAGTCACAAATCCCCAGTCCCACAAGAGGTATACACACAATCACACTGTCACACGGCATATTCCCCGTCAGGGAAGCACGCGGTCACAAATACACTGTCACAGCAGCATTACTCAGAGTCGCAACTCGCACTCACGCAAACGCTTATACACAAAACCACAACCGCACACGTCCATTTGCCCATACGAGTACCAGGCACAAAACAGCAGGAGACCGCCACACACGCAATTCCACTGACGCTTCCGCCCCGGCATGCCGTACATCCTCACCTCAACAGAAGGTGCTGTTCAGGATCCAGGATCTGGCGCCTGGGGTCCAAGCCCCGATTTCGGGTTCGCCCGCCCAACGGGAGCCGGGCCAAGTTCCTCCACCGGACGCTGCCCTCCCCACGCGAGGCCCTCAGATCGCGCGAACAAACGGAAATGAAGCCGCATTGGGGACGTGGTGGCTCTGGGAAATGTAGTCCAACACTAGGAAGCCTGCGGCTGGCCGGCCGGGACGCTAGGAGGCCCAGTCTACTAATCCTCCGCTCGGTTCGTGGATTCCGCGGCCGGGATCCGCTAGCCAGAAGGCCGCGCCGCGCGTGTTTATGGGAGTCCCCGCCTGAGCTCAATGCGCAGGCGTGGGGCGCGCACTGCCCGAGTGATCGCGGTGAGAGACTGCTAGGGTGTGCAGCGGTCCAGGGTTTTACGAGATTAGGAGAAGGCGGGACTCTCAGCGGGACTAGCTGGCCAGGCCCTTCGGGAGGGGGGGTGGCGTGTGTGTGTGTGTGTCCACGCGAGACGCAGCGGGGCAGACTGGGCTGCTCGGTGTATGGTTGTATGCTTGTTGCTTTTGGGGGAGGTGGTTCGTGCTTGAAGCTGCATGGTAATGACATTTTCTAATTGTGGGATTGGCTGACAGAAGAAGGGATCTCTGCTGTTACGGTTCGTTTTTGTCCATAATTGAGAGTGGTTGCTGACTTAACGATGATGATTTTGTTTTATGCAAATGTGCTTTTCTCCTGCCTTTATTTCACAGTGTCTGTAGGACTCGCAGAAGAGAGTGTGTGTGACTGAAAAAAATGATGGATGGTCAAGTTATTTCTTTCTTGAACACTAATTTTATCTGGTAAAAAAAAAAAGTTATCAATTTATCTGAAAAATAAGCCAGACATCTTTCTGTTGGATCAAATATACGTGTTATGAGGAAGGACGCAAAACCAAGAGTTTTGTTTACAAGAAACATGATTTCAAAGCCAGTCCTAAGGTAACTGCTTTTTCCTCTAGCACAGTCCCACAAAGTTGGCACCTATTCTTTTCTTTTCTTTTTTTTTTTTTTTAATATTTTTATTTATTTCTAGGAGAGAGAGAGACAGCGTGAGCAGGGGAGGGTCAGAGAGAGAGGGAGTCACAGACTGAAACGGGCTCCAGGCTCTGAGCTGGCAGTCAGCACAGAGCCCGACGCGGGGCTCGAACCCACGAACCGCGAGATCATGACCTAAGCGAAAGTCGGACACTTAACCGACTAAGTCACCCAGGCGCCCCACCTATTCTTTTCTAATATTATGGTGACATTATTGGGTAAGGTTGAGAGGCCATGGACTAATAAAATAATAACTTTATACATAAAAAGAGTTTACTGTGGTTCACGGAGAGAGAGGAACTTAAAGCTGTATGTTTTTTGGGGTTTTTTTGGTAAGCCTGAACTTGTCTCATGGCTTTTTTTTTTTTTAATAATGACAAAAGTTTGAACTTCTAGCACAGAGTGGGGTAGAAGTGTAAATGCACCACTCCTCCAGGTGGGGGTGGGGGAGCAATAAAACTTCCTCTTTCAGGACCCTTTACTAAACACTTTGATCTCTTCCCAGTAATGTGACTGGAGTAGCAAGTTTGGTTCTCAGGATTGTTGAGTTAATGAACCTGTGTGCAGTAATCCACTATAAATGTGAACTAAAGATGGTCAAATTGTACTGAGTTAGAGTACGGCAAAGTGTCAGAGTGGAGCAAGAATTTTATCAGATTATACATGAGAGGAAGTATATTGGGTTTTTGTTTAGAAGTAACATTCTGATTTCCAGTATGTGTTGATTTTCAAGCCATATTTGTTTGATTCTTGGTTCTCTTTCAGCTTTTGAATAGTTGTGATGGCTGCTTTAAAGAAAAAGGAGACTGGGGCGCCTGAGTGGCTTAGTCGGTTAAGCGTCCGACTTTCGCTTAGGTCATGATCTCGCAGTTCGTGGGTTCGAGCCCCGCGTCGGGCTCTGTGCTGACTGCCAGCCTGGAGCCTGTTTCAGTCTGTGACTCCCTCTCTCTCTGACCCTCCCCTGCTCACGCTCTCTCTCTCTCTCCTAGAAATAAATAAAACATTAAAAAAAGAAAAAGGAGGCTATTGTTTACAAGTGAAAAAAAAAAGGAATTGTTAAACTGAGATTTATAGATTCCATGTGGATGGGGTTTGTTGTATTTTAAACTTGTGATATTTTGTATGGGTGGATATGGTGATTTTTTTTTTTTTTGAAAACGTATAGACAGTTTTAGGAGATTCAGAGAGTTACTTCAACTCAAAGATTGAGACCATTACAAAAACAGTCTGCAGGAGCTGAGGAAGACTTTTTTTTTTTAAGCATATCATTTGATATACTTAATATAAAAAGTAGTATATATTTTTATGGAGGTATACACACCAAACTCCTATATCACTAGTAGCCTTTGGAGTGAGAAGAGAGGACTTATGCTAAGGAGGGGGTAATGTTAAAAGGGACTTTAAGCATCACTGATAATCTCTCCTTCATTTACTTTACAATGAAAACACACTACTCATGTGTTGAATTTTAATTTTAAAATTCAAAAGAAAATGGAAACTTTGAGGATTTTGGAGCAAGAAAGTGAGCCAAGGAAACTAAACTCTGTGAAAACAAACAAAATCCAGAAAGACATGTCCCTTAGGAAGACTGCAGAGAGAAAGGAGTACTTAGGCAATTTTTCATAGGCCTCAGATATCTTGTAATACCTGGCATTTTCAGGTTTATATCCTTAGGACCCATTCTGACCTTATAGACCTTTAAGGATTAGTTATCTCTTTACCCTAGCAATTGGATTCTGCCCTATGGCAGTGGCTGCCCATGAACAGCAATGATAAGTATGTTTTCTTTTCTGGCACTGGATCATTTTATTTGAGAGTCTTCGCTGATGTTGGGAAATGATTTTGACCTTCTTTTAACAGATTGGGTTTCATACTAATACGTATGAGTCAGGCATTTAATCAGTGATCCCAAAAAAGTATTTGAAGCACTTTAGTATTTTTAAAATTATTCTTCCCTAAGTTTTTAATTTGAAAAATGTAAAGCTACAGGAAAACTAAAAGAATAGTAGAATGATGTACACTGTATATATATATAATATATATATATATCCTTTACCTAGATTCACCAGTTTTTAACATTTTGCACCATTTGTTTAATCTCTGTCTACATATATTTACATATTTTAGGGTATTGCTCAACATTTACGACTAAGTTGTAGATGTTATATGCTTCATCACTAAATAATTTAACATGCATCTCTAAGTACAAGGCTATTGTTAGATAACCTCAATATCATGAATATACATGAATATACGTGGGTAGCTCAGTCGGTTAACTGCACGACTTTGGCTCAGGTTATGATCTCATGGATTATGGGTTAGAGCCCCTAGAGCTCCGTGTTGGGCTTTGTGCTGACAGCTCAGAGCATGAAGCTGTTTCAGATTCTGTGTCTCCCTCTTTCTCTTCCCCTCTACCTCTCACTCTCTTTCTCTCTCTCTCAAAAATAAACAAACGTTTAAACATTTTTTAATTATTTGGAATGTTTATATATTTTTTTAATTTTTAACATTTATTTATTTTTGAGAGAGCATGAGCAAGAGGGGGCAAAGAGAGAACGAGATGCAGAATCTGAAGCAGGCTCCAGGCTTTGAGCTGTCAGCACAGAGCCTGAGGTGGGGCTTGAACTCACGAACCATGAGATCATAATCTGAGCCAAAGTTGAACACTTAACCAACGGGGCAGCCTCGGCACCCCTGGGATGTTTATGTTTCAATCATATGTGTCCAATGTATCTTCTAGTTTATAGCTTGGGGTTTTTAAAAAAAATTTTTAATGTCTTATTTATTTCTGAGAGAGAGAGAGAGAGAGACAGCGTGAGCAAGGGAGGGTCAGAGAGAGGGAGATACAGAATCTGAAACAGGTTTCAGGTTCTGAGCTGTCAGCACAGAGCCTGACGCGGGGCTTAAACCAATGAACTGTAAGATCATGACCTGAGCCAAAGTCAGATACTTAACCGAATGAGCCACCCAGGCGCCCCTGTTTTTTTTCATTATTTAGTGAGCTTTTAATAAATAGAAGTACTCTCTTTTGGGGCCTGGGTGGCTCAGTCAGGTAAGTGGCTGAGTCTTAACTTTGGCTGAGGTCATGATCTCATGGTTGTGAGATCAAGCCCCGCATCTGGCTCCACGCTGGGCATTCTCTCTCCCTCTGCCCTTACCTGCTCACGTGCATGTGTACTCTGTCTCAAAAAAAATTTTTTTTAATTAAAACTACTCTGTTTAAATGTCCAATTTACTTAATTTTTCTTTATGGCTTGTAATTTTTTGTGTTTGGTTAAATAAACTCTTCTTTGGGGGGTGGTTAAGCCTTGAACTTCACCTCAGGTCATGATCCCCTACTTCATAAGTTCAAGCCCTGTGTTGGGCTCTGTGCTGACTGACAGTTTAGAGCCTGGAGCCTGCTTTGGATTCTGTGTCTCCCCTCTCTCTCTGCCCCTTCACTGTTTGTGCTCTGTCTCATTTCTTAAAAATAGACAGACATTGGGGCGCCTGGGTTGCTTAGTCGGTTAAGCGTCCGACTTTCGCTTAGGTCATGATCTCGCGGTTCGTGGGTTCGAGCCCCGCGTCGGGCTCTGTGCTGACTGCCAGCTCAGAGCCTGGAGCCTGCTTCACAGTCTGTGTCTCCCTCTCTCTCTGACCCTCCCCTGTTCATGCTGTCTCTCTCTCTCTCCTAGAAATAAATAAAAAATATTAAAAAAAAAAAATAGACAGACATTAAAAAAAAAAAGAAATTCTCCTCACTACCAACATCATAATTTCAGTTTTCTATATTATCTTTTTAAAGCTTTATACTTTTGCCTTACACTATTTTTATTGTTATAAAATCTCTCGGAATTGGGGTGCCTGGGTTGCTCTGTTAGTTGACCATACAACTCTTGATTTTGGTTCAGGTCATGATTTCAGGGTACTGAGATAGGGCCCCTATATCAGATAACATGGAGCTTAAGATTCTCTCTCTGCCCTTTCCCCACTCATGCATGCATGCTAAAAACTAAAAATAAATAAATAAATAAATAAATAAATACAAAGAGAAAAGCTCTTGGAATTAAACTCTTTCTGCAAGATAAAGGAGGGGTGCAATGTGTGTGTGTATGTGTGTG